CCCCTAAGAGGCCTAGTTTGACAATTTAAATTATCCTCTAGGATGGGCCCCTCTGGCTATGTGAGGAGCAGGAGTACTGGACAAAACACCAATGAATTCTGAGGGGAAATTCAGCCAACAGAACAGGGCTGCACGTGTTATGGAAGTATTTGTAAAAATAAACAAATAAACAAGCAAACAAATAAATGTGTATGTACATATGAGAAAAAAAATGAGAGGGTCTACTCAGGGACAGGAAGAAACTGGAAACCAGGTTCTGAAGCTTCACCAATGGCCCAAATCTTGCACCTGGAGAGACTGAGCATGCTCCACACAAGAGAAGCAATGAAGCCTCTACTAAGTTAGTGTGGATACATCCCATCCTTTCGAAGACTCAGAATTTTATAACAAAGTAAGGGACAACCAGTTATTTCAGAGTTTGCGTAAATTACATTACAACACACAAAAAGTATGAAAAATATTTTCAAAGTATATGTATATGTGTATATGTGTGTGGAAGGCAAAGTGTATTATCATGTCTGGTGTACAACTTTTGCTTACTCTGATCTGCATAGTTTTTGGTCTTCAGCTCCAGCTGTCGAGTCTGAAATTCAAGGTGTTCCACTTGGATTTGTAGTTCTTTCTTCTCCTGCTCCAGTGCATCTTCGAACTCTATAAACTTCTGAATAGGGAAGAAGCAGAGAAGGAGGCATGGATGAGGAATAAATGTAAAATGTGTTTGCCCTATATGACTTCCTCTCCTCACAAAGAAAGAAAAATTGAGACAATATAAATTACGAAACAGGAAATAAGATTTTTTAAGTACTGTAATTAGCACAATAGCATTTAATCAAGCTGAAGAGACTATTATATGTGAGAAAGTGTTAGCTATATTTAATGCATAATTAATACATAAACTATGGTCCAACGTGAGTTATGTAAACCAGCACAACTCTATCATCTTCATTGTTCTTCCTCATGCCAGGCTGAATCTTGATTCCTGTTAATTTGATGTCAGACAAGACAAATTCTAATTCTATGGTCATATATTTACAAATACACGTCAGAAACCTGCAGACCAATTCTTCTATTTGTGGAGTTTTGGAGAGCTTCACCTATGATTCACGTGGTGGGTAAGTTTTGCAGAACTGTGCGAGTCTTGTGGAAAGCGTATCCACAAGTGTGGGCAGATGAGAGCAGCCTCTGCCCCCAGCGACAGTGACCTGCCCCAGCAGCAAACCCCAGCAAACCTCAGCGGTGTGTGGGAGCTGAGGGCAGCAGGGGGGAAACAGGCAGCAGAGGAGATTCTCGCGGCAGAATTTCACAAATTTATACCGAGAAGTAAAAAGCTTGGGTAGCTGTTCTCGGCAACAAAGGGAGGGAAGGGATCATTGCTGCTCTCATTAGCAACAACAACGTGGCATCTGTGCACACAGCAGTGGTGACTCCTGCACAGAACACTGGGCTGCAGCAAAGACGTTTACAGATATACTCATTTCATGATGAAAACACAACAGAAAATACCTGATTGCAGGTTATCATTTCTGTAAAATGTCGCTTTTGACCTGGGAGCTTTAGCCGTTCACTGCATGCACAGCGAAGAAAATTAAAACGTGGAACGCTGAATTTAGCTCTACTGTAGTGAATTGATAATACACATTACTCTTGGTAAGAGCTGTAGTCACAGTTCCTTTCATGAAATATTTGAACTAAACAGGGTCCCTGGAAAGTGAATAGCACCCTCCAATCTCTGAGTATAGTTAAGCAAGCCTGGTTCTTGTGCTATACATGGTCACGAGTTTTTCTGCACAAAACACTAACGCATACCCATATGCAATAATGACCCATAATCCATATTTCTGGACACAGAAACTGAGCTGGTTCTCGTAACGCTCCTGACGTGTAAAGCACAGTCCCACCACGCTTACAATGCCGTAGGACACTAAAGCTATCTTGCTACCTTCAGAATAAGTCGTATCCTGGCCTTACAAACCCAAAAATTTGAGTCTTGTTACATTACTCCTGAACAGCTACATCAGAGGAAGCTAAACCAGAGTTGTCTGCACCAACCAGTCCTCTGAAACACAAACCTATCCGCTGAGCAGCCAGAGCAGGACTGCGGGCAGGAGCAGCCCTGGATTCAGAGCTGCAGAGGATGAGAGCGAGCAGCAAATAAAGCCGAGGGGGCTCTAACCTACCTGTAAGATGTTTACAGATGTTTACAGAGGAGCCCGCAGGGGCTATGAGGCTCTCACAAGGGTGCTCTGCTCCCAGCCCTGCACATCGGCTGGCCGAAATCTCCTCCTTCTACAAGTATGGACACTGGGGAAGAAAAGCCTGCGCTCCTCTGTACTCTGCAGAGGGGAAAGTGGTGCTCTCTGAAAATAACGCTGCTCAAGGGGACATCGCAACTTCAATTTAACAAAGTGAAGCCTCTTTGTACTCTAAAAGACACAGACTCTGGTGAAAATCATTTTTGGAGAAGATTCCCAGGGAAACGAATGCATTTAAATGCACAATAAGATTATGTTGTTAAATTCTGCACATGAAACAATATGCACAGTATTTGCCGCATTCTCAGGATAAGCCCTGTGCATATTTCCTATGATTTTTAGGGGAATAATTAGTAGTGACACTGGAGCCATCACTATGTTTGTGAACGGGATCTTCTCTCTGTAGAGTGAAAGGCTACATCATCTGTTATTCCCGCAGACTTTTAAAACTGGTCAGTAAATTAATCTGAACAATGAGTCAGTTTTCATTCCTACATACCTGTATTTACAGAAACAATCAAATGCATTTTAGCCATGTCTCATTTTCCTGCACTCGTGTTCTGCAGTGCCTTTAACCTTTAACTGGGCTTTTAACTTTCTTTTCCTTCCTGCCCAAATTTATTGCAATAAGGGTTTTTTTTTCCCCTTATGGTTGTTTTCCACCGGTATTTTCTAGAAATACCAGAAATGCCAATACATTTCTTCCACTATAAAGGAGTTATCTCAGTGGCTAAACATTTACCTTTTTATTAAATTTTAAGACTGTACAAGGTTTTAGATTTTTAAGCGAGCATTTTTTCTCTGAGATGTCAATTAAACATTGAAATTGCTTAGTCACTCACAAATCTCCAGCAATCTATTTTATGGATATTAAGAAATTTATAAAGCAATCTGCTTCATAAACTTCCAGTTTTATTCTTGAAACATTTTCCAGAACAGCAATATAATTTCAGAATGAGTAAAAAGAAAGAAAGAAAAAAAAAATCCTATCCAACACAGCTACACCGAGCAAGAGACCTAGAGAAGCAGCAATTTAACTTGCTCCGTTTGGAGGACTGACAGAAGCTACACCAACAAAAGAGCTATTTTCCTGGTTATAATCTCCATCTCCTCGCAGGGTTTTGCTGGAACCACTCTGCGTTAAAGCTCTATTGATGAACCCTTTTAATTACAGCCAAGGGCTAAATCCCCATCACATCACACTGGCTCAGCTTTACCCACCCCTCTTGGCTCGAGATGCTCCTAGTTCTCCATCCAAGCCCATGCCATCCAGGCCAGGATCATCCAAGAATGAGGTTTTTAGCAGCAATAAAAATGAATGGACTTTAAGGAAAACACTCACAGACTTCTCGACAGTAAATTAGGAAGCTAAAGAAGGTACAAGCCCAATTTTATTCCCACTACGTAGGTCATCTTTAATAGGATTCCTGGATTTGCTACTGCTGTTTCGGTTTAATTCAGAGGAAAGTGAAAGATTAAGTCTTCTGCAAATACGGCTCAGTCTTCTTACTCAGTCCTGTCTATTTTGCAATCTCAAAGTAATCAAAGAAATAGAAAACTAGAAATCAATTAACCATTTGGAGAAGAAAGAGACATAGAGACAACAATATTAAAAATTAATATTACCCTAAGTATCTCAGGGAAGAACAGCATTTCAGATAAAGGTATTGCAGCACATCCTGTTCCATCTGCCGATGAGATCGAACAACAGCATTTCTGCACAGGGACGCAGGGGCTCTTTGCTCTCCCTGTTTCTGAAGCACCTTTCCGCTGCTCCTGCATCAGAAGCCATCTCACCGGAGGTTCTCCCTCGGCATCAGAAGGTCCGAGAGCAGGAAGAGCCCCAGATCCGGAGAGGAGTGAACAGCCACAGCAGCAGGACGAGGAGGAGAGGTTTCACTGCCAGGGCCGTCCCCGAGGCAAGCATGCTCCTGATGGAGGAGATGGCTTAGCACAACACGATGTCCCCACCGCTCACCCTTCGTGGTACAAGCGAGCTCTCATCAGCGTATTCAGGCAGGCTTCTTTTTTTTGCCAATAAGCGAGCAGCAGACATTTCATACAGCAGCCAGGGAAGAGCCTTACTAGCCGCTAAAAGCAGCAGAGACTGACATGACCTTGCTGAGGAATACGAGCACATCCCCAGGCACACCCCAGCGGTGCCAGCAGCGTGGGGAAAACAGGCACTTCGGGCACATCTGTACTACTCTAGTGAGCAACAGCCTCCCGAGGCAGAGCCAGCAGAGGCAGTGCTTCCTCTACCCCATGATGCTGTGCCATGGTCCTCACACTGCGGCTCGCGGACGGCAGCGCATGGCTGCAGGTGGTCCCGGCCAAGCAGCACTGCTGGGGTGGGCTGCAGTCCCTCTCCTGCCCTCACTCAGCCGGCCAGCCACAGCCCCTGGCACGCAGCAAGTCCCCCACCCCACCGTGCTCTCTGCACCAACCCCATGCTGCTAGGAACTCGTACCAGGGCAGCAGAAACACAGAACACAAGCTGAATAAAGTACTTCAATTTTTTTAATTTTTTTTTTTATTAACCAGACTCACAGAGGCAGTTATGTTTTAACACCAAACCCATATTATTGAGTGAATGAAGCTTGGTAAGTAAACACCCATTGGCATTTCACATTTTCCACTTTTTTCATGGGGATGGGGTATAATCCTGTCACTACTGTAGCTGTGGGAACATTCTCAGGAGCTTGACCAGGACCAAGATTTCACCCTGACCTTTTAAACCTCCCCAAAATTAACCAGCAGAGGGGACACTAACTTGAAAGTCACTTTCCCATCTGAACATTTTCTGCCTGTAATATTTACAAAAAGCACCAAAACAGTTATAATAGAAAAAAAAAATCCATCTGGTTTACTCGTTTTGTGTGTTTTTCATCTAAGTTTGTGCACAGCCCATCCCATCTAAATGCTGCAGTTTGATGCACAAAGATTCTGAAGCTCCATGTCTCTCTGGGTGCTAACTAAAATCAGCAAGCCTTCATAATGGAAAAGAATTTTCACATGAATCAAATTCATACTTCTGGCCCCAGAAATTCCAGTGTACAAATTCCAATGACTTACTGGAGGCAGATACTGCAGATACTATTCTTGCTTCATTACCTTAAATATTTAACAGGGTAAGAGCGGGCCAAAAAAAGAACCACAACCAAAAAACCCCAAGCTCAAACAGCAGAGCTTAAAATGCCCAGGGCACTAAGTTTAAAAACTGAAATGCAAATTTGCTGCTAAGAGGCAAAAAAAACCCCAAAAATGGTGCTGGCAAAGAATCAGGGGGCTTAACTTGCTGCTCTGAGCTGCCCTTAATTTCAAGGGGTTTCTCCTTTGGTGCTGCAACTGATTTCCTCCGACGGTTTCACTGCACGAAGCTCAGTTCAGACCCACTGCTCCGTGATTCCACCATTCCCAGCTCCATCTTTATGGAGATGCAGTACACACATTTAGAAAACAGAAATAAAAAGAACCAGATAATTCCACTGATGGTTAAGAAAAAGTTTTGATCCCACTATGACAAAGTAGATAGGTGCACTGGAAGAACAAACAGTCCATGCTCCCAGTAGTTCTTAATAGCAAGGCTGACACAGTGGTTAATATTTTTACTAATTTTTATTATTTTAACTAATTTTTCCAGAGCCCCTACGCTTGCTTTCAAAGAGTAATTTCTGAATATGAACATTTACACAGCTAATAACCTCAGTGAGCTAAGAAAACTGGAGTATGAAACTGCTATATATAAAATTAGTCACATGGATTTTTTTTCTGCTAGCCTCTATCCCCAGATTTCAAGCAGGATAACTGGTCTGTAATAACCCAGGATTATGACAAACAACAATGGCTCACACACTACTCTGCAGGGAAAATATCTAGCATAAAACCATCTTAAGGTGAAAGAATGAGCATTCCTCTGCAAAGCAGTGGCACAATGCAGACCGCCTGGCTCGCTGCTTTATTGCCTGTTGCAAAGGAAGAGCGGGACTAAAAATAGCAGCATATAATCAGAAATCATCACATCACACTAGTGATAAACCAAGCAGAGAGCCAGAGAGGCACATCCGCGCAGAGATCTCACTACATGGCCTTAATCTGTGGTGGCTGGCGGTGCGTGCAACGGCGCTGATGGGGGTCACCCAGACGGATCCCCTCGCCCCTGCGCCAGCAGGAGGTGGCGGTACCCCGGGTGGAGAAGCTGCTGTGCAAAGAAGCGAGGAACACCTGCCCGGCAGCGCCATCCGCCGAGCAGCAGAGGTCTGTTGGTGAAACAATGGAGGGCTCTTCCCCGTGAGATCCCCCCACCTGCGCTCTTAACAGGAGCCACTGCCCTCAACAGCAACTTCAGGAAGAGAGACTGCTTCCTTACGAAGCAGGAATCTACCATGTTGTGTTTGACACTCAAATCATCGCGTCACACATTCTTATTGTAGATCCTGCACAGGCAACAGCCACAGTTGGATACCAACTGTGCCAGAGCTTCAGGAACAGGCTGTTAAATTCACAAAAAAGATCCTTACATTAAGCCAATTCTCAGAAATACGGTGGTCATCAGCAAAATGCTCCCTCAGGAAATAACTTCCATTTCAACAGCTGATATCAAGGGAATTCTGCTTCTCACCTTATGAGCCAGTGTGCATTGAGGCAGCTACTTTTTAGAAGAGCATTAGAGAGCTGTGTAAAAATAAAGAGTTAAAAATCTCAAACTATGAACAGATGTTCAGATTTTTATCCCTATAGGCATTTTATATAAATTTTATATTCAGCAAAGCTGAAGTAGAAGATAAAGGTATCGAGTCTTGTCTACTTTATGTGAACGTTAACTTAACTTCAATTGCATGAAAACATTCCCAGTTCCTATCAAGAAGAGAGTCAGTACAGACATATGCAGTGTTTCCCTTGTGAAAACAAAGGTTTTGCAAATATTTAAAGCTGCTCTCCCTGGCTGGTCTCAACAGCTGAAATCTACCCTCACACAAATAGAAAAATTCAGCCACCAGCCCACACAGTGATGAAAGCATACCTGAGTTTCCAATGTGCGATATCTCACATGACATGAATTTTAGGAACGTTTGGGCTCCCTGAGAGCAGAGTTTCACTAACAGGTAAAAAAGGGACACCTTGCCTTTCACCTGATAGTCACTCAGCTGGCTCTTCAGTGCTCCAAGGTGACAGACCCATGGGTTTGAGGGTGCTCCGAGCAATGCCTACCCTTTCTCCTGGAAAGTCCTTCCCTTCAGAAGACCCTTCTCCGTGTGACCCAGGTCAAACCCAGCCACAGCACCTGAAGAGCAAACCACAGGTCCCCCTGCAGCCTGGATGCTCCCCAGTAGTATCGACGTGCAGTGAAACACTAATATATGTGTAATCCCTATAAAAGACCCCAAACAGCATCTGTGCCACAAGAAAATATGCCATCAATCAGTAAGTGTAAATTCTAATAACAGCCCATCTCCTCTCCATCTCAGAAGGATCTTAGTTACCACAAACATGAAGATGCTATCTCAAGTATTAGTTTTATAAGACATAATTTAAA